CCGGAAAACCCCCGCGTAATCAGGCCTGCAATTGGGAACTTGCTTTAAGATGACAATTGAAGGGGTTCAAGGCTCCAAGAGACACGTCAAGTGTTTCGGTAACCCTGAACCCTTTTCTATATTTCTAACCTAAACCCTAAACCAAAAAATGTTGTAGCCACACCGTCCTCCGTGCCGTCCTGCCACTGCCACTGCCAATTGGCCGCAGCACCGGCTCGCCAATCCTCGCCCTCCTCCTGCTCTTCCTGGGTCGAAGCCGCCGCTTCTGCATCTATCACCTCCTCCGCCTGCTCCTCCGGTCTGTCCTGCACTTCTTCCTCCGATTCCTCTTCCTTCTCCTCTACGGGCGCACGGAGCGCCCCCTCCTTTTGAACCAGGGAAGCGCGAAGGAGGTGCGGAGCTGAACTTGGCCTTGCTCTCTTCACGCCAGACCTTCATAGGGTTTAGGGTTTAGGGTTTAAGGTTTAGGGTTTAGGGTTTAGGGGGTTTAGGGTTTAGGGTTTAGGCTTTAGGGTTTAGGACTTGGGGTTTAGGGTTTATGGTTTAGGGTTTAAGGTTTTGGGTTTAAGGTTTAGGGTTTAGGTCTTTCTAGATGCTTCTATAAAAATTGTATTAGTGCTGCGATTAGGCGCGGAGGTCGGGTGTTTAGAGAAGACCTTGTCACAGAACATACAGATAGAATGTTTTTTTAGGCGACGAGAAGGGAAAGTTCAGCGTGGAGGACTTGTGGAAAGAAAAGGGGGACCTGCAAATGTTGCCGAGCCGCGACCACACTCCCGCCCCCTCCTCCTCAACCAGCGAGGCGCGAGGGAGGTGCGGAGCGGAGACTGGCCTCGCCCGCTTCACGCCAGACCTTCATAGGGTTTAGGGTTTAAGGTTAAGGGCTTAAGGTTTAGAGTTTAGGGTTGTTTGTTGTTTAGGGTTTAGGGTTTAGGGTTTAGGGTTTAGGGTTTAGGGTTTAGGGTTTAGGGTTTAGGGTTTAGGGTTTAGGGTTTAGTTTTAGGGTTTAGGGTTTAGGGTTTAGGGTTTAGGGTTTAGGGTTTAGGGTTTAGGGTTTAGGGTTTAGGGTTTAGGGCTTAGGGTTTAGGGTTTAGGGTTTAGTTCTTTCTAGATGTTTCTATAGAGCATTGTATTAGAGCTGCGATTGGGCGCGGAGGTTGGGTGTTTACAGAAAACCTTGTCACAGAACTTGCAGATATAATGTTCCTTTGGGCGACGAGAAGAGAAAGTTCAAGGCGTGGAGGACTTCTGCAAAGAAAAGGGGGACCTGCAAATGTTGCCGAGCCGCGACCATACTCCCGTGACTGCGTGGCACTTAAAACGCCGTGTAGAGCGCCGGTGCTCTTTAGCAGTGCGTTTCTTGTACTTTGGCATGGCAGACACTCAGAAACAAGCCATTGGGAAGGCACGCTGGCTGGAAATACGCTAGGGAGGCACGCTGGCTATATATAGGGTTGAGTGCCTGTCGTATGGGGCTTAGGGGCTGTGTCGAGTGCATAGACGATATGGGTTCTAGGTTTTCAGGTTAGGCTTAGGGCCTTAGGGTTGTATAACCCTTGCTGCGAGTGTTTTAGTGTAGATAGAGCGCATGTGCAGTTTTTGGCGCTGTAGGGGTGATTCTTGAAACCCTAAAGCCGAACCAACCCTGAATCTTCCTAAGCCTCAAGACTCTTGAAATCCTAAAGCTTAAATAACCCTGAAACCTCCTAAACCTCAAGCCACACCCTTGAACCCGCGCCGGCAACAAATCGCTACAAAGCCGAATCTCGCAACCGCCAAGCAACAACTACAACTACGAGTTCAAGTTATACTCGGGGTTCAGGATTGGGTTCATATACTTCTACCACCTTCTCGCCTTCTCCCCAACCCTAAACCCTAAATCCTAAATCCTAAACCCTAAACCCTCAACCCTAAACCTCTAAACCCTTAACCCTCAACGACTTCAGACCTAAACCGTCCTGTGCATTGCCAGGCGCTGCAACTGCTGGCAAACTCCTCACCTACCGAAACCCTATTTTATGGCGAGCTACATGAGCCATCTCGCCTGTCAATTCCTGGCAACAGCGAGCCTCCCGAAAACCCTAACCCCTAACCCCTAATCCTTAAACCCTTAACCCTTAACCCTAGACCCTACACACTAAACCCGAAGCCCTGCATTCTAAACCCCAAACCCTAAAACCGAATGGGATGTTCAGGGTCAAGGGATCTTGGCCTTGCGCAGTCCCTGGATACTGGGCCCCAAAAGGGCTCTCAGAATTTTAACCGTCGTGCGTGCTGCTGCGTTGGCAGCAGATCACACCAGCAAGGGGCCAAGTTTCAAGTTTGGGGTTTCGGGTTTAAGGTTCAGGGCAGAAGTTTAGGATTTAAGGTTTAAGGTTTAGGGTTTAGGGTTTAGGGTTTAGAGTTAAGGGTTTAGGGTTTAGGGTTTGCCCAACGGTGCTGACTAACCCAACTTATAGTCACACTAGGGGCACTTATAAGAGGCTTATAAGTGGGTTAGAAGTACAGGTTTAATTGGGGCATTTCAAAGGCTTATAAAAGTGGGTTGTAAGTGCCGTTCGAATTGCCGACTCCTGCGCTCACAGTGCTGCAGCTCTTTAGATATTTAAACTGTTAAAAAAATTAAAGTGTTTAAAGTGTTTAAACTGCAAATCGTCCAAAAAACACCACAGAACTTAACAAATGTAAAGTTTAAAACTCAAAACCCTTTAACCTTAACATTTTTTCAAAACGATTTGCAGTTAGTTTAAACAAACAATTTAAAAACTTTAAACACTGTAAATATTTAAAAACTTTAAACTGTTTAAACTGTTTAAACTGTTTAAACTGTTTAAACTGCGCCTTCTTGAAGGTTCATGGTACTTACTAACCAATACGACTGGGCTTATAACCCTACTGATAATTGAGAACCCCTATAAGGCCCTTTCGGGCTATTATAAGTAGGGTTCTAGGTACAGTTATAACTGGTTAGTAAGTACCATGAACCTTTTCAAGTTCCTTTTGCAGTTTACACAGTTTAAACACTTTGAATATTTAAATGTTTAAACTGTTTACGATTTGCAGTTGAAACAGCTTAAACAGTTTACACAGTTCAATCCCCTGAAATATTTAAACAGTTTAAACTGTTTAAACTGCGTCTTCTTTTCACAGTCAGCGTTTGGCCACACCTTGCGCATATCTCCACGCCAAGTCTTAATTCCTTCCACCTGAGATTCACCTTCTTTCATCCTGTCAGTGAGAACCTCGCACTCACTCACAAAATAGTCTGCAGGTACGTCTACACCCCTGCCTGGGGGCGTCTTCGTTGGCCAGCGACCCCCAGGGAGAGCGCTGGCCCTCTGCTTCAAATCTGGCTTTCAAAACCGACCTTGCGCAACAGCAACTGACTCGCTTAGTGGCAGGGTTGGCACACACACACACACACACCTTTCAATCAGAAAGGTCGAGGCATACGTTGGCATTCTTCATAGAAAGATGGAGGCATAAGCAGACTCTGTCAGCTACGACGCTAAATCGAACGCCGATTGGAACTTCTGCCGCTAATGCATTTGAACTCTTTGGGACATCAGAGAGCACGCAAGTCTCTACTCTAGGCAGAACATCTCCACATGCCCACACTCGTGCTGGCGTCTGAAACACACTCTGACACGGCAAATTCACACCTACTATGGCCCTGAAGAAAGCAGAACTGACGGACGCAACTGCCAAAGCCTCTGCGGGTCAACACATCGGAAATCAGACGGTAACAGACTGAGCATGTAGTGCACACAACGCTGCCGTTCAGTCAGAATAACAGGCTGCCAAGATGAGGTCTGGTTCTTCAACCAGGTTGCTGTAACTGCTGAGAACTTGATAAGCTCTGGCGGAGGAAGCTGCCAGAAGTGAGACTCAGTGAGACATAGAATTTGTAACTTGATCCTGCACCAAGAGCTGATATATCGATTGTTCATCCAACAACGTGCCTTCTGTGTGCTGTAGGGTGAGCTCTGCTCCTGGATCTCCCGGCGTGACTGCAGAGTCCGCTGTATGTCTGGCCACATGAAACGCTGCTGCCTTCGGACTGGTCTGCATGTGCCCCGCCGGAGACAATACCGGTGAAGGTCCACCAACTTTGCACTGATCCTCTCACCAGCTGCAAACGCATTAAGTGCACTACCATTTTGTTGCGAACACGTCAAAGAACAGGCAAGCGCGTCGACAGCAACCCTTGAGCGGAGATATTACGGATGGAAACACGCATTCTGAGTTCAAGCTATCTCCTGAGATCAAACCTGTTCATGACATCGTACTGACTGTGAACACAGTCGCAATGACAGGCAACAGACGGTGACAACTGCAAACAGACGGTGACAAGTGCAAGCGCACTTATTCAGAGGAATTCTGTCAGACTGTACACTCACACACACTGCTTCTCATCGACAGTCCTGGCATAGAAAACGCCTGCGAGAACGTCATTGTCAAAGACTTCGCACAGGTTCCAGCATCTCCAACGCGGCGTTAATGATTCTTTCTATATACTCCCGTGTGCTCACACTGGAAGCCGCCGCTGACTACTTCTCGGGACATCTACGAAGATGCAGAACTACGGAATGCTGTCGCGAAATCACAATGAACTTCATCCAATAGCAAGAGTTGCCCGCGACTGCGTGGGAAAGATTCGACTCTATCGCTTGATCGCGAACTGATATCGGTCCCCTCGTGCAAGATCGCAGCAAGAAAACATTCCTTGAGGAAAACGCACGCGAATGTTTGTGAAAGATTCGAATTCATCGCTTCATCGACAACTGATATCAGCTCCTTGGCGCAAGACCCAACACGAAAACGTTCCCCCAGGCAAATGCACTTACGCGCCAAGCCACACACTGCTCCTCCGCCTTCCTGCGAGCGGTCGATCGCAAGCTTCGCTCGACATGTCGCCGCGACGTACAGCTTTCACGCACTAGTGATCTAACAAAATGGCATTGTCCGCATGAAGTGTAGCAGATCACACATTCTCTTCTTTTTCCCTGGCAAATTCATGCGCGGCGCACGTCCTCTGTGCACTGTACAGACGCACGCCTGCAGTCCTCTGTCAGTTGCAACTGAGAGAAAACGCGACACCAAGTTCGGCTCCTGCCCACAATTAGCAAATCAGTCCAGACCTCCTGCGCCCGAAGCCTAACATGGATGGCCTGCATTAGGGACGCATGTGCCCACGCGCACCTGCGCGCCGAAGCGTGTCCTTGCGCTTCAAGGTGTGCGGTGTGCGGTGCACCTTCTTGCGCGTCTGTGGCGAAGCGGCTGGCTTCTTGCAGGCTGCCTTTTTGACAACAGCTTGCTGCCGCTTTCTTTCTCTATACAATGGCAGATCGGCCTTGTCTGGCATTTTGTCGTGGGCTAATTCCCTGCACCAGTTCTGCCACTCAACATACGACCAGAGTGGGCGTGCGCTCGCACGAGCAAGAAGTTCCGCGTGCTTCATTTGCCGTGTCGTCGGCCTGTACAGAGCACTGTTGTGAGACAAGTTCTTGGCAAGCTTGAGAACTTGGAGTTTCAAGCGCAAACTGGTTTGATGCAACTTGAAAGTCTCACGGAACCATACATTAATCTCCCTGTGCAGACTCTCATTAGATGTGGTGCCTGTCGGGAGTAGCGGGAGCCTGCGTGCTTCCAGCATGTGCTGCAGACGAGTGTTGTTGAAATACCACTCCGCACGATTGACAGCTGTGGCCGAATGCAGCAGCTTGTACACCTGCCTGTTCGGGCCCGGCGCAACACGAATAACTTCGTGACTGTACACTGCGCATAATGCTGCAATAGCGCGAATGAAATCCACCCGCACAAAAAATGGGATTTCCGAATTAATTTGTGCCAGAATGTGCTCAGCGTCGCGCAGACGCATGGACCGGTTTTCGATGTGATTGCGCAACATCTCTTCCTCGCGAGACAAAACTCTGCCGTCGCTTCCTGTGAAGACGCGGCCCCATTGCTCGGCTGTGTGCGCGCTCTCCACTGCTGTGAATTTTTGAAGAATTCTTCGCAGCATGCTTGATCCAGGGGTTCTCTTCCGACTCGAGGCGAATTCGTACGTCATCGCCAGATGAACCGGATCTAAAGCAAGGACCTGCAAGTTGGGGCAGATCACGCGGAGCTGCTCCCAGAACTTCTGCGAGGGGTTGTCCACTCGAACAAATTGGACCTGGGCCAATGCTTGCGCCGGGAGAGTCTCAGCCAGGACACGCACGCAGGTCTCCGAGTCGTCTGCTGCGAGTGGTTCCAGAACCACAACCGCATTGGTTCTGCCGCGCACTGTCATCACCTGGACTTTGCACAGTATATTACTTGCATGTGCTTCGTTACTGCAATGAAGACACGCACGTACTTTGCTTAAACAACCAAAGAAAGAGAACTGCTGCTCTGCGTTCAGTCTGCTCTTGCAGAAGCTTCCTGGCCGCGGAAAGCTGCGCTTCGCTTTGCCTCCTGGCTAGACCGAGGATGAGCTTGTCCCATCAGAGGCAGGCAGCATCTCATCGTGCAGTCGATGCTGATGACTTGTAGCTCATCGTGCTGCATAACTTCTTGCATCAAACCCTGCATGACGCACATGAGTTTGGGGCAGGTAAACAAATCTTCTAGAATTGGCCACCAGTGATTGACGTGCCGCGGTAGCAAGCTGCAGGTCTCTGGGGGGAAGCGCGCAACCAATGCCGCATGCAATGAGTACACCTGCGAGCACACACACAAGAAAAGAAAGCACTTACATTTGCTCAGGGTCTGCAAACAACTCTCCAGCAGCAAACCTTGCCTTTGCATCCGAGAGAAGAAACTGCTGGTAGACAATCTGGCCGAACTCATAGGTGTAGTACAGATTGCGAACACGTCGCAGCGGGAACTCTTGGACTGAAACCGCATTCCAGAACTCAGGCCCGCGCTCTGTGAAGACCAAGCGAATATGTCGATCTATCGAGGTGGTAGAAGCACACACAGCTGGCTGCACTGTGCAGCGCAGCATTTCAGCGCTTCTTGTGAGCAGGTCGCCCTGTTCAGATCCCGTGCACTGAGCAGCATCGTGTAACGAAATGATGAGCTTCAGTTGCTTGGTCCCACTGGCGACGAACTGGTGGATGTGGTCGTGGTACTTCTCGACGTGATCAAGAACTCTCTTCTTCGATTGGTTCGCTGCCCAAGACCGCCACGGACAAAACGGGCACCTATACTCGCCGTCACTCCTAGGAATGCACTCAGCTTTCAGTTGCGTGACTTCATTTTTCAGGGAACTCAACAATCTGTCGCCGACGCGCACGATGCCTTCGTCTTCTGACTCCTCCGGCGGCTCTTCCGCGTCAGTTGCTTCTTCCATGTCCACCACGAAGTCATCATCCTGCGCCTCGCCCGCTGCATGAAGACACCGCAAACTGTCCATCTCTGTGGCGGTCAAAGCGTCATCCGTGTTCGATGCTTGTGCTGCATTTGCTTCTGCTTCGCTCCCGAAGATATCAAAAAGAACGATGTACTTCGAGTCTACAGCAGCCTTGAGGCATTTCAAGAAGTCCGTGGAGCTGACCTTGTACTGCTTCTTCTCATCTGTGATGATAAATTCGTTTGCGGTGACCACTTCCAATGCGACACAATGTGGATCTCCTTGTGTATGAAGATGCATGAGCTTCTTCTGGCCGGCCGAGAAAGGTGTGCTTGCTGCTGCAAACGTCGGATTCATGAACAAGCCGGTGCGTTCACTCACCTGAGCATATGTCCTGTGATGTTTGCGCCGAAAATATTGATGGAATTCTGAGCTGACATCTGTTGCCATGGCGAGAGCTTGTGCTTTGTACCCCAGATGATGCAAGCTCCGCAGAATGCAATTGCCCGGTTCTTCTAGCTCTTCAGGACAGGGCACCTCTTCGAAACCCCGCTTGCTCCTCAATTCTTCCAAAAAATGCCGATGCAGCTTTGGTCGGATTGTGATTTTGAAGCCTGTTTTCTCCGCTATATGATCGGAGCATTGTGCACAGAAATTCTCCACGTCGTCGCCTATCACGGAGGTGTCTACGCGAATGCCATCAAAATGCAGAGACACGTGACGAGGATTCAGACCAGCGATTTTCTCCAGCCATGCGTCGATGATGCGATCTTCCACGACCGTCCACAAATGATGCAAGGTACTCGATTCCGGATTCTCCTTATCGGCGTTTTCGAGCATATGGTCGTAAACGTTTGGTAAAGCCGAGACAGCAACCCATCGACAGAAGATAGACAGCTGCTGCAGCCTCTGAATGAATTTGTTGCTTGTCAACGTCTGTGGCGGATTGCCACCATTGAAGACTTTGTTCAGCACATCTTTGCCAGTGGCACCATCCAATTGAAGGTCTTCTTCAATAACTTTGTCTCTTTCCTCGGCGCATCGCCTCAGTGTCTCTTTCTGGTTGCTCCACTCCCGCTGATCGACGTCCAACTTGTCGAGCAACTGCAGCATGATATTGAAGCAACAGTTCACGATGTCCAGATCCGTTGTGTGGCTCAGGACTAATGCCTGCCAGGCTCTGCCGAGATGCTGAGCAGCCGCTCCTCTGGCATAACGCCTCGTGCGAATGCCCAAATTCGCCGGCACGATCCCGTAAATTGTCTCTTGCGTGACGAATGCATCCTCACCGTGGGGGTTCTCTTTTCGCTGCCTTGCAGTCGAAGACGCTGACGCGTCCAGAGCTTCTACGGCGTCCGGCCTCTTCCTTCTCGCACGTCTTTTTTCTCCTGTTTCCTGCGATGGCTTGCTGCGGGCAGCTTGCGAGCTTGCTGCGTCCTCCGAAGTCTTCTTGCGAGCAGATTCAAGAAGTTCCAATAAGTCTTGCAGTGCATTTTCTTGATTCTCCAGCTTCTTCTTCCGTGACATCCATGCGTCCTGCATCTCCAGCAAGTGAACGCTTTTCTTGCCTCGTCGACGTTGAAGTCTTTGGCAGATCTTGTCGTAGCAGCTCAACATTATCTGGACGTTAGTTTCTCGGGAAGGATTCTGCTCAGCAATTTTCCAGAGCGCGCGAGCATCGTAGCATTCTTGCAGCTGCGTGCGTTGCTCGGGAGCTGCTATGTCGCAGACGTGATCAAGCTCTTTTTTCAAGGGAATGATGGGCACGAAGGACTGGCTCACGTTTCCCTTGTCTCCAGCACCGCCAGCAAAAATGACCATTTTTTTGTCCTGCAAGACATCCAACGTCAATGTCCTGTTGCCGATCTTCGAGGACGAGTACCGAGTCCACCAGGCCTTGCTGAATTTCAACTTCGTTGCCGGAGTGCCACGCGTGTTCAGACCGTAAGAAATCATTGCGTTTCGCACTCTCTCATGCAAACATTCAGCAGACGCATCTTCGTTTGCGTCTTGAACAGTTGTGGCCGACCGGACGAGATGAGCAAGTGCCGTGGCTGAACTCGAGCCGCCTTCCTGCTTGCGATCCTCCAGACCGCACGCAGCCCTGACTTTCTTCTCCGTTGGTCCCTGCACCACCATTTGCTCGATGATGTCGCGGCAGTCTTGCCGGCTGTGCCGAACTTCGAAGCCATGCTGCAAATGCAAAGAAACTGCAATGGCTGGCCCGGACTCAAGAAACTCTTTCAGCGTGGTGTCCTTCGCGAAAATGCCGTCCATGTGTGCGTCAGGGTAACTCTCCTCCAAAGTTTTCTGCTCCCAGAACAGCGGTTTGGGCTCCCACACCAGGCATCTTCTAAACATGGAGTTGAAATTTCTTTCCTGGACGTTGCGGAACTGCAGCATGACGTTCGTCTCGTACCGCTTCCAGCCAATGCATCGCATCATGCGAGTAACGAAGCCGTATGGCCGGCGTGCAGCCAAGTCGTCAGCGGAGCAAACCTTTTTGAAGACGTCCTGCAGAAATGCACGGTTGGACTCCGGTGCCTCTTGCGCCGTAAGGATAAAGCAATGAGCAAAACCCTCCAATTGCTTCCTGAGCTCGTCCTCGTTCAGAAATACGGCAGTGTCAATGAAGGCATGGTTTCGGGCATAGACTGCGGCGATGTGGCAGCTGTACAAAGATTGACCAGTTCCGCCAGGAGACTCGCCAATAAAACATCTGTCCACGTTTTCGCCACGCTTCGCAAGGGCAAGAGCACTCATGCAGGCCCGCAAAAAGTCCTCGTTGCACCAAAAGGTCTCCCTCAGAAACTTTTCCAGCCTGTCTTTGGCCTGCCGGAACACCGGGTCCTCGAGAGCATGAGCACGCAAAGGATGAGGGACGCGAATATAGATGTTCAAATCCGGACTGGCATTGACAAGTTGGACATTGTGCTCCGGAGAAACGTCATAGAGAACGCAGCAATCTGTGTAAGCAACGCCAGGTCTCCGCTGCGTAGGTGTGTCGCACCACTGAGCCACGTACTGGAGAAGCTTTCGCTCCTCGAGCAAGTCTCGCTGCAGAGGGGCAGCTACACGGCTAATCATGTCCGCTGTAAACAACGGCCACGAAGGTGTGCCAGCAGGAGCCTCTGCCGGTGCATCCACGCCCCTCTCCGGTGCCTCCAGCCGATTCATCTGTCGTCTAGAAGTAGAACGTGTTCCAGCTGTCATGATGGCTTCATCGAGGCAACGGTTCAAGAACTCGCAGGCGCTGTTGTGCTCGTCAAAAAGGCGCGCGATCTCATCGAGCAGACAATAGTCCGAGCGCTCCACTCGGGAACTCATCAACCTGAACATTCCTTCCAACTGCAACAGAAAAGGCTTCACCCTGGAGAACGTCGATTCTGGAGGCATGCCCACGAAGGCCTGGAATGCTCCGTGCTCGTGATAAAGGTAGCAGGTGCCGTTGTGCGCCCGAAGAAATCGATCTCCTTCCATCACCCAAAGCAATGCCACGTAATCGCGAACAAACATGTCGCTCAAACGAGTGCGGTAACATGTAAGCGCCGCTGCTGCAAGATGTTGAACTGTTTCCGGCCAGGTCGGATGCCGTTGCGACACCAGGGCAAGGTATGTCTTCTTCTGTTGGACGATCGTGCGATCATGAATCCTCTGCACCGCAGGCGGCATGCTCAGGAAAGATTCTGCACAGCTCTCATCGCTGTTCTGAAAAATCTCCTGCAAACGCGCCATTGTAGTTTCCGCTCCAGGCATACAACGTCGTTTCTTGGCGTCTCTAAAAATGTCTTCTTCAGAAGGCACAAGATTTCCTTGGCTGACACTGCGCGCAGCATCAAAGACTAGCCCAGCAGCGAAGGCTTCTTCCAATGAACGGCGGGCATTATCGTCATCAACTTGCATCTCCAACTCGTCCTCGATCTGGCGCCCAAAAGATGTCTGGCTGTCGGCCTCAGCTCCGCCGCTGAGATCCTGCCATGCAGGCGGCGCCGTGCTTCGTGCTCGACTCTGTAACATAGCGTGCACCTCAGGTGCCATGTCCGGAACCTCGTCGATGAAGGGACCCAGATCTGCATTGTCTGGGTGCAGACAGACGACGTACATGCCAGCAACTCTCATCTCGTAGTACTGCTGCAAAATGTATTTGTAAACGTTGAGTTGCAGTCGATAGTGCTGACCTGCACAATCCGGAATATGAGACAATGGCTTCTTCATGCAAGACCAGGGATTGTTGTACTTGTCGCGCAGAAGCTTTGTGCGCTTCCAGTCAAAAAGGACAACTTCTCCTGCTTCAGTCAGAGCAGCAAAATCGACGCATCCAGCCAGATCTTCATTCTCTGCATAAATGCACCACTCTGTACGAAAGGCCAGGAGCCGCGTGGGAAACTGCTGAAGAAACTTCGCAAAGAGATCAATCTCCACTCCAGGATTCTCAGAGCAGCCTCCGTTCAAGAAAACTTCGATTTGCAAGTGCATCCAAGTTCCTCGTGCAGAAGCCTCCACTGAATTCTTGCGCCAGAGTTCTTTAATCTCCGCGTCCGGCAAGGGCTGCAGCTTTCCGTCCACGACTTTGGCGTATGCCTCTCTGGGCCAGTTCTGACTTCGTTTCATGCACGCGATAGCAGCATCAGCATCGAACTCTTCCGCAAAGAAATGCACGAGACCCGTGACCGAGATCGAAACTTTTTTTCCGTCGACATGGTACGTGTGATTGCCTGCAGTGAAGCTTATCCGCTGATCCCTGAGATGCCGATGTACCCGAGACAAGAGGCCGCATGAAATCTCCGGACACTTGAAGCTTTGCCAGTCAAGCGGGGCGGCTTCCAACACGGGAGGCAGCTCGTGCGTGAATGAAAACATCGGCAAGCGGATAGAGGACGTATGCGTTCCGTACGACGGACAACAGTACGGGCTGTAGCATTTGTTCCACAAAGAAAAACCATCAAGAGGTAGAAGGCCGTGCTCTTGGCTGCTTCGTCTCTCGTGCTGCCGAGAAAGAGCTTCTGCGCGACGCAAGCTCAAAAGAAACCACTCTGAGTGACTTGCTCTGTGCTCGGACGCACCTCCCCGCACGTCTTGCCAGGTTCTAGCACTGGAACTGGAACACAATGCAGTCCAGTTGTCCGTTAAGCCGACGACCAAGCAAGGTGCGCGCGTGATCTCCTCCTCCTCTATCAGCTTTTCACTGCGACATTCGCATTGAACGTTTTCTTCTTTCGCTTCGCCGGAAGACGTGGAAGTCGCCCCGTCAATGGTGCCAGTCACCAAGAGCAAGTGCAGGCTCAAGGAAAACTCGAAGGCCAAACGGAACCAGTCCTTCTCATCGGGAAAGTCCACCGGATGAGGTAATCGTCCTAACACCTGGAGCTGACACTGTGGTAGTTTTGACGCTTGCGCGTGCAGGTAGCGATAAAAGACAACGTTCATGTTCAGATTGGTCTCTTCCAAGAAATCCAGAATTGTTCGTGTCCTCCCCAGCGTTTCCTCCCATAGTCTCTTCGTCATAGCCGCACGCATCATCGGATGCGGAAGGAGCTTGATGGCTTCAGGAAGACGCTGGAACAAACCGGCATGGCGCCTGTATATGCTCGAAATCACGAGCTCGAACTTGGTCGTCGCTTCCAGAAAGGCGCCGTTTTCAACAAAGCCGCCTGCGTCAACATACCGAATGTAGTCGCTGCCTCCGACGTAGTCTTGCAGCTGCAAAACGCAGCGTGGACACCTTCTCCACGGCATCTGGCCCACGTGCGCTGAACAGATCCATGTGCTGCACAAAGGACAGACACTCCACCTCGGAAACAGCAAACTGAACGCGCGTCCACAAACTCCGCACTCGATGTGTGCGTTGCGAACCACAGGTGAGAAGGCAGGAGTCATACCAACTTCTCGAAGAAATTGTGCGCCGCCATGGCCTCCCGGGGGCGAGAAAACCGACACAAATACCCTAGCCAAAGGCGGCGCAGAGTCGCCGACATCGTCGCGAAGCCTTGCCCGAATCACCACTTCGTCGTTCAAGTTGACGGCGAACGACCTCTGGCTCCATTTCATGCAGACGCGGTTGGCATAGCCCGGCAAGAAATGATGTTGGTCGGCACGAGGATGTCGCTGGACGCGGCTTCCTGTGACGCCGAAAGACCAAGCGATGTCTGCTGTGAAGAGATTGTCCACACGACAGTAAGATCTCTTCCTGCCGTCCAGGTCTTGCACGCCGAAGTAGATGCCGTTGGCTCGTGGAGGCAAATGGAGTTCGAAATTGGCGCAGCCCATGAGAGGCTGGTTGGACTCGAAGCCTTGCACTACTCTGCCGCCGCGCAGAAAGCCTTGATAAGATGTCACATTGAAGTGCACGTGAGCTGTCTCAGGCATTTCCAGGACCTGGGCCAGCTGCGCGATGTCGAAGACCACAATTCTGGCGTGGCGCCAGAGAGGCTCCACTCGACGAAGCAAAATGGTTTGGGTGAACTCGGGCCACGTCACTTCGACGACCTTATTGCGCCACGCCTCGCCCCAGACAATCGCAGCCTTGCACGCTTTCGAGGCGGCGGCAAGGTTCTTCATGTAGGAGTAGGAGAAAAAGTACTGAGGCAAGGACATGACCACTTCCCAAGGCATTTGAGGCGGCGGGAGAGCGCCGCCCAGATAATCGGCCAGAACTAAGGGACACCCTGGGCACTGCATGTTCGGAAGTGCTCGGGCGTGTTCTCTGCAAACCCACGTGTTGCAGTCCACGCAAACTCGCCATTGCTGTTCATTCAAGCCACTCTCTAGACCACATAGGATGCAGAGGCATCGTGCGTCTGGAAGAACAGGTGTGAGCAACGGCAGCATTTGAATCCTCGGCGAGTTTGGACTTCGCTTAGGATTGCTCGCCCAGATGAAAGGAATCGCTTGCGACGATGGCCCGCTCGGCAAGTCCTCTCGCACTTGCACCGGCCCAAACATGTGCTGGTTGATCTGCACGGCAAACATTCGAGAATTCCAGATCAGTGTAACTTCATTGCGCAACTCAGAAAACAGGACGTTGTCGGGAAACTTTTCAGTGGGAAGGTTGTCCATTCTGCCTGACATAGAAAAGCAAAAGCACATGCGCTCAGTGTAAGCCTCTCTGATGTGCAAGAAAATCTTTCTCGTTCCAAAAGGACTCTTGACCCCGATCATGACCGTTCGAATCTCTTCAGGAATTTCCGCAAGAAACCTGGCTGCGCCAAGCAGGGTTTGACTGGACATGTAGCCACGAGAGCGCTCACCGGAAAAGGGAATCCTTTCCACTTCCCACCGAATAAGAACTTTCTGAAGAGGCAGATTCAGAAAAGCAAGCTGGGCCTGTGTCATGATGACGCTTCGTGCTAGTTTCCATAGTCGTCGCATGCGTCTCAGCCGTGCCTCGTCGTTCGTGAACTCCGGAACATCGATAGGAATGTCTAACCCTTTCCAGTTGAGCTGTTGCCGGACATGATCTCGAAAGCTCCGCGAACATGCAGCCCACGTACTCAGAAATTCAAAGGAAAAGTAAGTCTGAGGAAGAATGAGCAACACGTCCTGCGGCATCAAGTTGCTCGTAAGGATGCTACCGTCCTCGCCCAAGACAGACGAGCCTCCAGCATAATCGAGGCTGCTGCCTGCAAAGCTGTTTGCGTTCCATTGATCTTCAAGCACGCCGCAGACAATGAACGTGTCGTCATCATTCACAATCTGATCGAAATTGTGGACGACAACAGGTACGGGCGAATGCAAGATATTCTCCTCATCGTCGTCAAAGCCGCCTTCAGAATAGGGCGCCTGCGAACCGAATAGTTCCTCCCAGGAGTGCCAAAAACCGGACTCTTCGTCCGAGTCTGCGTAACCATCGCGCCTGTTCAGCGTGACCAAGTTCTCTGCAGTAGGAACAACCACGGGCTCCATTTGCTCGAGCTGCAAGCTCTCCCAGGTCTCCAAGATCTGCTGCGCGCAGGCCTCCACCATCTTTCCGCCCGAGTAATCATTTTCTGCAGGTAGACTCTGTTCTTCGCAAACATCATCTCGATGCATCACTCGAAAACATGCATCAAGCATTCTCGGATCCAGAAGCATGTTTCCGTCGAGATCCTGATGAAGAGCGCGCGTTCCAGAATGCGACTTGACTCGCAAATCTTTCCACATATGCGTGCGGCGCCCGCAGTTCACCTTGAGATTCTCACCGTCTCTGCGCCGGGCTGCCACGAAGTGATTGCTGTACGCCAACAGGAAATCGCCCTGGGCGACGAGCGCGTCGTGAAAGGTGCATGGCCGAATGGTCTTCCTCAAGCGCAAGAGAAAGCGTGTTGCGTAATGCCTCATTTAATTACACATCAAAGACATCCACATCACACTTCATGTGTAATCCTATTACTGCAGTCACACAGAAGCACGCGCTCATTGCTGGACTTTGCAATGTGATCATAACGAAGGTCCTCATAGGCTGCAGCCACTGCATGCCGTCCGAAATTTTCCATGGTCCGTCTCCACGATAAGACACCTTATGGCCCATAGCTCTGAGGGAGTCGACCAAGCAACAGTCCTTGAAGTGCTTGGCCGTCCTTGTCTCAGGATCGGTTGCCACGGTGCCTCGAGGCTTCTGAGGCTCGCGAACACGATCCGTCGTTGCCGAGCTGCACTTCGTCGCCGTTCTGGATTTTCGCGTAACGACGATGCCTTGCTGCTGCGTCCATTCCGGCCACGTCTTGCAGCGAAATTTTTCCGAGGCTTGCCGCTCTCGAATCTTCCGAACGAGCTTGCCCACGAAAATATCGCCTGGGCGTGATATTTCAAGCGACAGGGACAGCCTCGCTTCACTTACCCCGCAGACAAGCTACTCCAGGCTTCCGAGGAGTACTTGAGACCGAAGTTGAGATGCTGCCCTTAGTCGCGACAGATCACTTTAATTTCGACTAAGGTAAGAATATGATAGTCAAACAAAGCAGCTTTCCTGAGTGAGCCACCGTTCTCATTTGCACCGCTCTTCTGCTCGACCTCTAGCACATCCGCGGAGGCCAGCCGACGAAAAATGGGAAGAAAGAAGTAGGAGCCTGAGCTTGCTGCGTTCATCCTTTGCTGAAAAAAGTCCCCAAGGCCATTAATCCAAGACACTCCAGTCATTGTCTAGCATCAAGCCCTGGCCGTTGCTGTGAATCCACTCGCCTCCAAGGTAAATTCCCGGGATCCACGCCCTTGATCAGCGTGCAGACATCGCAGAAACTGACACGCGACAGTTTCACCACGAAACATGATAGATCAGTCAAGAAACTCTGTCAGCCCCTCACTTTTCACATGATCCGGCGTCTCGATGCTAGTGTCGGCCTTCTCGATCTCGCTGTCTTTCCTGAACACGCGCATTTAGACAGGTGGCTCTAGATCACAACAATAAAGCTTGATCTGACTAGAGTCTAGAGTACAACTCTGCAGACGAGATTCTTCGTCATCGTCACAGGAACACAACTGCTGACGGACTTCTTCTTGCGACAGCCTCGATTCTTTGTCTTGTTTCCCTGCAAGTGCTCTCGCCTGCGATAGTATCCCAAATCCGTCTCGCCCTTGGCCTGCTTCCACGGAGGGTTCTTCACGGAGCCGTTGTCACTGCGCTGTCCCCTGTCCCTCTTACGACACCGTCCGCCTGCTGCCGGAAACAGCACCAGCCCTTTGTTGGGAACCCATTTCCGTCGAATGGATGCGGCGAAGGTCAAGGGAACCAGCGTTGCCCATTTTGTGGTCGAAGTGGATGAGCGAAGAGGATGCATGCCCACTTTCACTTTCTCGCCTCGAAAACACTTGCCCAGTTCTTATTAACGTATCATACACTCTGAGGTGATTCGGGAACGATTGCACGAGCGTAAAACAAGTCAAGATTCGCGTCATAGCCAACATGGAAGTCTTTGGCAGGTTAGACATGGCTCTCGGCTGACCTCGTTTGATATCTCAACAGGCAGCCTCGCTGACTAAATTGTTTTTCGGAACGCTCAGTTTTAAACATTTCTTCTTTGTGCTTTTCACATGACCCCGCCGCCATAACTATACTGTAAACAGACAACGACCAAAAGCCTCCAAACTTGTCGCAGTCGAATTACGGCCCGCTATCTGCAGCTCTGCTTGCAAAGTGGAGGTCGGGGGCACGGGCTTGTCTTCTTTCGTCTTGAGGCCTGGGCTACGCAAAGATTCCGCAAAGATAAGAATACAACCGACTCAACATTGTAATAGCATCTGGTGTGAAGTCCGGAACGCCTCTTCATGTCTGTCAGGTTGCATTGGTCTTGCTTCAAGACGTCCTTCACTCCGGAAGTAGATACAGACTGGCCTGCAAGATCCTAGTGGCTTGACGCAGAGAGCGCAAGTACATAAAATAGTTTTTGTCAATGTTACGATGAGAGCTTGTTCGATGTCTAACGACAAGAAAGCTTCCAAGACTTGAAACGCGTCGTCGGGCAGCCGCCGCCTGTTTCCACCTTCGTTGTCAGGCTCTTCCTCGCGTCCGGTTCGCCTGTCGAAAGCATGCTTGTGCACGAAGCCTTTGGAGTCCGAAGTAGAATCCATGCTTGTGACCTTTGTAAAGAACACCTGTGCATTACTTTTGTCCTGTCCATAGTTGTTCTATCCAGCACTGCGGAATCGTAATACAGTCAATTGTGCGGCCGAGCTGCGACCAAATGTCTCCAAGACACTCTTCAAGCTGCCTCGCGAGAACTCAGAAGCCTTCTACCGTCTTCTACCCACTTGAAACGACTCGGGTTCTTGCACGACTTATTCTCTAGCCGCTACAAAAAGAACACTGCTCTTCGGAAAGGCTGCCAGAGGAGGCTTTCGGGCCGGTTGCTGTGCTCGCGCACAGACTCATCTCGGCCGCACCTCAGTTTCTTCTTCAGGAAATCAATCTAGCAAGTACGGAGAAGCAACGGCCGTCAAGAAGCTAGTCTCCGATCGCAAAGGGGTTTTCACGCTGCCCAACGCCATACAGAGCGAGTCCTTGACTGACATTCAGAATCTGCTTGCGAAAAAAAAGTCAGAAGCTGCCTGCGATAAATAGAGACAACTGTTGCGAGAAGACATGATGTTTGAGACCAAGAAACTGCAAGAGAAAGATCAGCGGAAGGAGAGGTTGCTTTCAAGTTCTTTCAAGCTCAAGCCGAAACTGCGCGGTATGATCACACACACGCACACACGGGCACACGCACACGCACACGCGCGCACACACACACACACACGCACACACACACACACACACGCACACACACACACACACACACACACACACACACTCGCCTGCGCGTTCCTCGCGTGTGCATCTGTCACGCACACCTCTCACACCTAGTGAAAATTGCAAGTACACATCTGCAGTGTTCTCTGAACCTCGGCGTCCAGCTGCTAATGCCTTCGTGGATCTACAGTCATTGAACAAGCAGACTCTTCTTCTCTCGCATTAACTGTTACTGCTAAAGCGCTTATTTGTCTTCAGCAAGACTCTTTAGAAGCTTGCACTTTGGAATCAGATATCAGTGAATTCAGACTGGCATCTACACTGTTTCTTTTACATTGGGGCTGTGCGAAACTGAGGCCGTGTAGCTTCGTCTGGAGGAAAACATACTTCCTGAGCAGCTTGGCTTAGCCTTGGCTCAAGTACTTGGCTGTAGGACACCACGCTTTATCGTAATGGTCCCAGCGCCAGCCTACGCAGAAATGCCTCGATGCACCCACGGGATGGTTTTCATCGGGCTTCACGAAGGAAGATATCAAGCGAGCAGGACCCCCAAGACTATACTCCATGTGCACCAGCTTTCCAGTCTTGAGGGTGTCTACGCGAACTACTGTGCCCGTCAGCCTCTCAAAGCGATCAACATCAGACAACTCGCGCGGCTCCTTTCGACCTAACACGACGATGGAGCGAGGACAAAATATGGCGTTTCTCAAGCACGTAAACAAGCGACGCCGGCCTTCGAGGTAATTGATGGCCTTTCCGATGCGTTGATGCAGAGTCTCTTCCGTGTTGGGAAGGAGCTCCAGGGCCTTGTTGAAAATGCTCCGGTGCTTTATTTAACCTCCAAGAAGCACCTGCGTGTCCCGCCTCATCAAATAAACCCAAGGTCACCGGAGCAAGCTGCCGCCCGAACCAGTCGGACGGTATGCGAAGCTCGGTCCGGTTCGCACCCACAGTTTCAGTCCACTTAGCCTTGCACCAAAACACTCTTAACCATCACCAAGAAGTGCCAGGACTTGCTACTATCTCACCTGGATCATTTGCAGAAGGAAGCTCTGCTGTTCCAGAATAGTCTTGCTGCACTTTACAGACCTTAGAAGAGCAAAGACGCTATCTCTGTCTCTTCAAGAGACTTTCGGGCTCTCACAGATCACCCAACGCCAAAACTGCTACGCATGAACTGCTACCTTGCACTCGCAAACAAATTATGCGGTCAACATGCTTGGCCCAATTTGCGAGTCGCTGGTGCCATTCGTGCAGAAGAGCAAGCAGAACGACCCGAAAGTCGATCCACAGCTCTTCTGCCCTCGGCAGCCAGTCCTCCACATTGCGTGTTGGTCGAGAGGATGTGGACGGCTCCGGGACCTAAGAACACGCAACAACACAACAGTCTTCAGGCTGTATCAATTGCATTTCAACAAGATGCCGACCGAGTTCGTGGAGTTGCCCGCCTGCTGACGCTGCCGCCCAGACTTACCTCCCCGCCTCGCAAAACAACAACAGAAGAGCAAGCGTGCTCAAGTTCTTTGGTTTTACAGGGACTCGCCTTTTTCCCGTCCAGGAAACCCTCTGGGGCATGGCGTCTTCTACTTTCTGCTTGGCAGGATGCGGCTGCGCGTTCTCAAGCTTCCCTCCAAAACAGCAAGCGCGCGCTCCTACTTTCTACAATGAAACTTCATTGACTAGCATGATTGGTCCGGTCATTTTAGGATTACGAAACTCTGAAGGCTCGCGACCCAAAGCACAAGCTTCCAAAGAATCTTGATGAACCCAGGTTATTCGGTTTGTCTACCGAGTGTATAAACCGCGGTCCGGAGCTGTCGCTGAACCCGGAAGTGCACGCACACCACGGTCTAGCATATACCGGACCCGGAACTGCACATACATATAACGGTTCTCAGCATAAGTTCTTATTGGCAGTAAGCAAATAGCCCCCATCTGTCATTATCGACAGGCTGTTATAAATTTTGAAGGCGACAGTGTCCTGAGAAGGCCAGGCGTAGATGTCTGTGGAGCGCCGATCCTGGAGTTAGAATACTCACCGGACAGTGTCTAATACGATCATACTGATATATGTGCACAAACATAAGTATCAGGTATATATATATGTATAATACAACGGTCCGGAGCTTTTACCGAACCGGGAAGTCTACGCACGCCACGGTCCAGCATACAGCGGACCCGGCCCACAAGGGATATGCGTATGTATACGTGTATAAACCACGGTCCGGAGCTTTCGCCGAACCCGGAAAAGCATGCACACCACGGTCCAGCATATACTGGACCCGGAAGTGCACATACATATAATGGTAGACAAGGGATATGGGTATGTGTATGCGTATAAATCACGGTCCGGAGCTTTCGCCGAATCCGGCACCACGGTCCAGCATATACCGGACCCGGAACTGCACACACATATAACGGTAGACAAGGGATATGGGTAGGTATATGTGTATAAACCACGGTCCGGAGCTGTCGCTGAACCCGGAAGTGCATGCATACCACGGTCCAGCACATACCGGACCCGGAACTGCACACACATATAACGGTAGACAAGGGATATGGGTATGTATATGTGTATAAACCACGGTCCGGAGTTTTCGCCGAACCTGGAAGGGCATGCGCACCACGGTCCAGCACATACCGGACCCGGAACTGCACATACATATAACGGTTCTCAGCATAAGTTCTTCTTGGCAGTAAGCAAATAGCCCCCATCTGTCACTATCTGCAGGTTCTGTAATGAATTTTGAAGGCCACAGTGTCCTGAGAAGGCCAGGCGTACATGTCTGTGTAGCGCCGATCCTGGAGTTAGAATACTCCCCAGAAAGTGTATAATACCATCGTATTGATAGATGTGCACAGACATAGGTATAAGTATATGTATAATACCACGGTCCGGAGCTTTCACCGAACCCGGAAGTCTACGCACGCCACGGTCCAGCATACAGCGGACCCGGTACACAAAGGATACACGTATGTATATGTGTATAAACCACGGTCCGGAGCTTTCGCCGAACCCGGCAGGGCTTGCACACCACGGTCCAGCATATATACCGGACCCGGAACTGCACATACATATAATGAATGGTGGACAAGCGATACGCGTATGTATATGTGTATAAACCACGGTCCGAAGCTTTCGCCGAACCCGGAAGGGCATGCACACCACGGTCCAGAACACACCGGACCCGGAACTGCACACACATATAACGGTAGACAAGGGATATGGGTAGGTATATGTGTATAAACCACGGTCCGGAGCTGTCGCTGAACCCGGAAGTGCATGCATACCACGGTCCAGCACATACCGGACCCGGAACTGCACACACATATAACGGTAGACAAGGGATATGGGTATGTATATGTGTATAAACCACGGTCCGGAGTTTTCGCCGAACCTGGAAGGGCATGCGCACCACGGTCCAGCACATACCGGACCCGGAACTGCACATACATATAACGGTTCTCAGCATAAGTTCTTCTTGGCAGTAAGCAAATAGCCCCCATCTGTCACTATCTGCAGGTTCTGTAATGAATTTTGAAGGCCAC